CCCCCCCCCGGCTCCGCCTCTGCACTGCGGCCCGGGAAAAGCTCCCCCTCGTGCTCTCAGCTCTGCCGCCCCTCGCACCTGCGTGCACAGCCTGGCTGTTGGAGGGGGGGTGAGGCCAGCAGGAGCTCCTCGTTAGCAGGACGAGGAGAAAGGACGAGTCTGCCCCAGGTGTCTGCCCAGCCCTGAACCAGGGTCTCCGTGGCCCCAAGGGTGCGGTAAGAGCTTGGGCTGCCGCACCTGGATCAGAGACCCTGTGGGCGCTCTACATAGTTTCCTGACAGAAATACCCTCTCCCTGGCAGTGAGCAGCATTTCCAGTGGGCCAAGTTATTCCAGATGAGAAAGATGCCTTTTCTTAGTACATCAGCCTCCCAAAATCCAGACCAGCATTACGCAATACTCACCTTGAGTACTGTCTGCAGTTCTGGGCCCCGCCATTTTAAAAGGATGTGAAGGTCCTTGAATGCGTCCAGAGGAGGGCAACAAAGCTGGTGGAAGGGCTGGAAGGCATGTCCTATGGGGAGCGGCTGAGGGCTTTGGGCTTGTCTAGTTTGGAGAAAAGGAGGCTGAGGGGCGACCTCATCGCTCTCTACAGCTTCCCGAGGAGGGGAAGGGGAGAGGGAGGTGCTGATCTCTTCTCCCTGGGATCCCGCAACAGGACGTGCGGGAATGGCTCAAAGCTGCGTCAGGGGAGGTTCACACTGGACATTAGGAAGCATTTCTTTACCGGGAGGGTGGTCAAACCTCGGAACAGGCTTCCTAGAGAGGTGATCGAAGCCCCAAGCCTGTCAGTGTTTAAGAGGCATTTGGACAATGCCCTTAATAACATGCTTTAACTTTTGGTCAGCCCTGAAGCGGTCAGGCAGTTGGACTAGACGATCATTGTAGGTCCCTTCCAACTGAACTAATCTAGTCTAGTCTAGTCTAGTCTATTTATTTCCGACACACCTGGAAAGACAGATTTGGAAGCTTTGTGAAGCCCTTTGACGTAAAATGGTTAGAGGCCCTGCAGAGTTGACAATGTGTGAAAAAAGTTAAGGCCTTTTATGCTAAATTTCCTTCCCAGTACTAAGCCCACCTAGTCTGCTTTATGTTT